TTCCAATTGTTTTTTTTACTGAAAGTAATTCAAGCCCTTTTATAGTACCAGTTTGGTTAATTAGATCATTAACCATATAGTTTTGCATAAGCCGACGTATTAATTCTGGTTCAATTTGTCTATGACTATTTGGAAGTGAATTAAGATAGCCATTCATCTACTTAAATAAGAAACACCAGAATGAATAAAGTGGTCCATAGTCAAGGCAGCATTGAGTAATGTGAAGTGCTAGATAAAGATTTGGTGTAATATATTTTTTACTATATCCTTCTTTAATTTGCTTAATAAGAAGAATAAACCGATTATATACCTCTTCTAATACAGTTATATCAATAATTCGGCAAACCAGAATTGTACAAATTCATACAAAATTTGTAAGAATTCTTTGATCTGATGCTAGAAGAAAATCCCACAGGCAAGGTGTTGCATAAATTAAAATAAATGTTCTCTATTCATTGGCAGTGAAATTAGCAAACTCCTCACCACAGTCAACCTTTCTTGGAATTCGGCCAATGTCAGATGAAACCTGAATTTCTAACATTTTAATTTGAATTTGCCTTAATTGGTTGATACTTAATATTCTATTATCAACCCATAATCGCTTTATAATCCATTTTGCAATACCTAAAAATAGGCAATGCATTGGATCAATAACCAAAAACCAAATAGGATTAAAATATGATAATCGGATTAACTCAGACCACCGAACATGAGTAAGTTTTTCATGTTGTTTTTTGCCCGATTTAGTATAGCATCTTCTTCATTGCTCAGCATCTTGTTGATGCTGAGCTAAGTCACATTCAATAAACCAAGTGTCAATATCATCTATACCTCTATAATGATGATATTTATCCTCATGTTGTGCTTTTTTTTTATATCAATAACAGGCTGCTAATGCTGAGATATAGCCACAAAGCTTTCGAGCTGCAGGTATATCACATGAACATAAAATTAATGCCGCTCGAATTGTCTTTCCAGATGGGTTCTCATAAGTTGAAATTTGAACACTATCCCAAAATTGGAGTAACTTATCAACAACTGGTGCAAGATAGTGGTTAATGTAGTATAAATGAACTTCATTTGGACCTGGTAAAATGCCAAGAAATAACATGTTTTCAACTTTAAATCAAATATCTTTTGGTAAATTAGAAATAGCTATATAAATTACACCAGTGCTATACTGGGTTCCATTGAATAGCTGAAACCAGTCCAAATTTAATATAAATCCAAGATGTGTATCAGCCGATTCTTGTGTAAAAAATTGACTGCCAATTGATTCTTTATCAGCAAATTCTTTCCAAACTTGACCATCATAAATATCAGAAAGAATGTCTTTAGGAACATTATGATGAGTCCATTTTTTACATAATTGTTCAAAATTAGAATACATATATATTTTTACAAGTTGACTTTTGATACTTGCAAAAGGATAAAGTAAAATTAGCTTATTAATAGTGCTACTTAGATATTGATTTTGTATTGCTAAAGCCGAATTACATGTAACTATTTGCCTAGATCCAATTATATTCAGAAATTCAACATGGATACATTTTTTTACTGATAATTGTCTATTATTATCCCATGAATCAACAACCTCTTTTTTAGTATATAGTTTGTCATATTTTGGACATACTGAATATGTTATAAAGTTACTGATTTTAAGATGTTTTCGAAGCATAAACATTGAGGTTGGAAAATCTTTAAAAAGATTTTCATCACCAAACTCACATAATAGTTGATGAATATATTTAATTAAAATTTCAGTAGCTGTTTCAGGCACTTTAAAATCACTTTAAAATTTTAATAGCCAAATTAATATATCATCAAAACTAGATGGTATTCTAAGTTTAAGTTGAGATTCATTTTCATAATCAATGTTTGGTACTGAATAATCTTCAAATTTATTAATATTGCTATATTGAATATCTTCGGCTAATTCTTTTTCAGATGATAGATTATCATTATTATTATTATTATTGTAATTCAATACAATATTATTATCACTACTTTTATCTGCTGAAGTGATAACTTGTTCTTCTGTATCTAAAATATTTATTTTAGTACTTGATGTTTGTTGGTATTTTTTTGGTAAAAATGATAAGTTATTTATATCAAGGCTAGGTAAAAGTTCATTATTATTATCTCTTTTTATATCTGACAACGAATCAATTGTTGTTACCGATTGTTGGCTTAGGCTACTTAATTGACTTAGACTATTTAATTCTTTAGATAGAGCTGGTTGTCTTATCTTATTTAAATCTGTTTGAGATAATTGTTGGCTAGTAGTTAAAGAGTGTTGCTTTTTTGTACAAGGATCAATAAACTTGCCTTTATACTTTAAGCAATTGCATATAACTCTTTACATGTTTTATAAGTCAAAGTAAGTAATGGTTTAGGAGTCGAAGTAGAAGATTTAGATTAATAGAATGAATCTTGGCCAATAGTTTTTAAAATATCTTTTAAATTATGAATAATATTATAAGCTATTATAAGCTAAAATTTATTTTTTTATACAATTAGTATTTATTTATAAGAAATTTATATTATATTATATTATATTATAACAGGTTTTAATTTGATACTTTGATTATAAAGTTGAATATAGCATGATTTTTTTATAAAGCTAATATGATTTTTTTTATAAAATAGATTATAACACACTTTAATTTAATACTTTATTATTATAAAGTTGAATATGGCATGATTTTTGCTTTTAATTATATAATATGCTTTATTATAGTTGAATATTATATAATTTAAATTGTAAACTTGATTATGACGTGCTTTATTATAAAGTCAAATATGATATAATTTTTTTTTTAAAATATATGATGTGCTTTATTATAGTTGGTAAACTTAATTATGATACACTTTATATAAAGTCAAATATTGTATGATTTTTAATTATTAATACTTTTTATAAAGTTAAATATTGCATGATTTTGATTATGAACCTCGCTTATAAAGTCAAATTTTTAATTAGTAATATTGTTTATTTGCATGCTTTTTAATTATAAACCTTACTTATGCAGTCAAATCAAATATTGCTAAATTTATTATGACATATTTTATTATAAAGTTAAAAATTGCATGATGTTTAATTATGAACCTGATTTTATGAAGTCGAATATTGCATAATTTTTGATTATGACCTCATTTATAAAGTTGAATAATATATAATTTGTTACATAACTTATAACACTATTTTTTTTTTAATTTGACAGTCTTGCCTTAACTATTTATTAGTACTCTAAGGTATTGTGATTACAAATGTATGTATATACATTTACAACTATCTAATTATTACAGGTAAGGCTCACCCAGTTACTAACTTAGTACCTATGTGTGACCTGCTATATGAGATTTTATCTTCTTACAGATGAAAAATCAGACACAAATCAGGTACTCTATTTTAAACTGATTACTACCTGATTACTATCTGATTTATGCATATTTTTGTACCAAAAATTTGGTACAAAAATATGTATAAATCAGGTGGTAATCAGATAGTAATCAGTTTAAAATCGGGTACCTGATTTGTGTCTGATTTTTCAACTTTCAATCTGTGTTAGTAACCACTCTGCAATTAGACCAATTACTAAATCACTAGATAGTTCCCAAACCTATATTTATCATATATATCCTGCTTATATACTA